TGTAGAATCCTGGAATTGTAAGAATGCATTTATATGGAGGGCAATTATGATATAAAAAAATATAAGAACTAAACATAGTGTGACGTAGGAACTCTTTTATATTCTCACTTTAATAGATAAATGAATGTGCTCTCAACTCTTTTATATTCTCATTTTAATAGATAAGAGAACGAGTAACAGAGAACAAAGAGCTGAGAAAGAATTGAATGAGAGATATAAGCTAGTACAATATTTTCTTCCAAAACTTAACTCCACTGGAAAAGGAAAGGACATGAGCCCTCCTGTCATTGTACTACATAAAATGGGGCATCTCACACCCACTTTCCATGGCCAATTTAATTCAAGTGAGTAGCCTGATAAAAAAATTATTAAAAGTAAATGACATAAAATATATATTTAAGAAAAACAGCCCATTTTAATTTTATAATTTGGAATGGTTAATTAAATTAAAAAGAAGACATAATTTATTGGCAATTCAACAAAATATTGAATAGGAGTTTGATACATTAGTTTTAAGGTGTGAACCCTGTTGTTTGAACCTTTCAGCATCAACTTGAATGGGTGTGGTGGTCTTGTCTACAATTTCACTAGTGTTGCGTCTCCACCTCTCTCACCAATATATCTTAGCATTCACGTTTCCCACTATCCAACACTTTGTAATTAGAAAAAAGAAATAAGAAATTCTCACTAATTCTGAAAAGGTTTATGTATGTCTTAAAGTGATTTCGAAATAAAGAAATTTACTTGTTTGAATGTATATACATATATTTGTCAAGGCCCTTACTACATAGTTTTACACACTTGCCAAAGAAATTTAATTGGAATACAATACAGTGAATGTAGCCCCCACGGAGTGGGAGTGGGACCTGCGTTAAGATGCTTCCTCTGATCAAACACAACATTTTATATATATACAAGGAAAGGAATTGGACCATATATAATTAAAATGAGAAACAAATTAAGCTAGCTGGTACTGAATACCCCCCACTACTACTACAACAACAACAAAAGGGGAATATTTTTTTTTTTTTTTTGGAGAGAAATTGTAATCGGACAAGAAAAGTCCACAAAAAGGAAAGCATAATAATTTTTTTGGGCGGAGAATAGTCAGAGAATCAACCTCTCCTCGTGCTTCTCCGCATTTCTCAAATCGATCATCATTGCTTGTCCTTCAACATACTTTACCATATATTATTATTACTCTATTCCATATTAAAAACAAAACAAAAAAACGCAGCATAAACAACATTCATTCAATATAATATATGGTAAAAGTATGTTGAAGGGCAAGCAGTTTTATTTTTTATACATGCATGTAGCATAATTAATTGAGGACCAGAATAAATGTTATTACATCCTTAAAATAATATTATGTTACGTTTTATAAATAAAATGTTGTCACACACGAAACAATATAATATGTTGGGACCCGGTCTGACCCGACCCTCTAAGATGAGACTAAGACCCCATCCTCATCTCCTATGTGGTCACGGTGATTGAGAGAGAGAGAGAGAGAGAGCAAGCAGCATTAAGAAAGTGAAAAATGGTGATGGTGGGTCACCTAGCAATTTCATCATTATCATACATTAAATAAAAAGGCCACCCAACTGGTACCATTCATTATTAATACACATCACCTTGGTCATGGTCATGGTCATGGTCAATAATAATGATGCTCAAATAGAAATTTTCTCCAATTTGTTTGATACATCATTTTAGGAACACCACACACTAATTTTAATAATAATAATAATAATAATAATAATAATAATAAAGTCAAGTTTATCAAGACATTTTAAGGAAAAGGAGCGTACAACAAATTTATCAACAAGTCAGTAGGGAGGAATTGTATTAATTAACTTAAGAGGAAGGGCAAATATATTAATAGCCTTTTTTTAATCCTAGGCTAAGGTCATGATGGTCCATGATTGTTGATTTGATTGTAATTATTAGCGCCCATGTTTCCATCATTTGTGTTTCCATTTAACATTGGATTCTAATTACCCAATAATAGTATGTTTTATTTATTTAAAACACATTCACCAAAATGTTTAACTCTTCTTGCTGAACAAATTAATTCCTTCTAAACATCTGTAACCCATGTTCTTTCATGTTCATTTCCAATTTTTTTAATTCAACCTAAATGATCATTCATTCTCTCTCTCTCTCTCTCTCTCACACACACACACACAATAGACGAATATATACACATATTAGAATCTTATATATATTCTCGGTCTACCCTTTATTTATATATGCTTTATTCCATTAGAAAAGATGAGGTGGATAGAAGGAGAAAGGAGGTATCAAAGAATAGAATTTCTTTCTTTTTCTTGTACAAAGCTCCCTCCACTATGCATAAAAGGGGAAGGGCATCCTTGTTTAACTTTCCCCATATTTAGGGTTTTATCCGCATCTTCTAAGGTAGGAGCAGCAATTTGCATAATTAAAAATAGCTTCTTAATTTTCTTTCAAGGAATTTGTATTACATTTACATTGTGATGAGAGAGAGCCCACCCACTCATTTAATTTCTAATGTGTGTGTTTTTTGTCTCTAGGTTAATCAACTTGTTTTGTTGCGTACAATTAAAAACCTCCAAAACAAATATTAGAAACCATATATATATATAGTAATAATACTATAATAAGCCTCTACCTTTTTCCATTTCTTCACTTGCTTCAAAAAGCAGTTGAGATATCAGATTGTGATGCTCTCTGTTTATATTCTAATCATCAACAACTACTCCTTGATGAAATCAAATAGTAATATATAATCCAAACAATATCATCCATCACTTGTACTCTGTGTGTGTGTGTGTGTAATAGTCCATGTTGGGTATCCTGTTGCAATATAAAATATGCTTATATTTTTATGATTGAAGAATACTTATTACCCAATTTGACACATTACCTGATTTTATGCCCATTACGAACAACGTAAAATTGGGATGGCCGGTGTTGTGCATATGGGTTCACCCAGAATATTAGGAAGCATATATATATATATATATATATATGGTCTTGCTGTTTCGAAATAATAATAATAATAATAATAATAATTCATGACAAACTTTGAATAAAAAACATGGTATAAGAAGTAGATGAAGAAGGAAACATAGAAATATTGTACTATTATTTCCGTCTCATATTAGTTGTCTTTTTCAAAAATTTTGACTCACAATTTTTATAAATCAAAATTATCAGAGTAGACATCTAATATGAGATATAGGTAATATATAAGTACAGTATATAAAAGGTATGTGACTAAAAATGATCTCAAATGACTCAAAAATAAAAAGTGATAATGAATCAAAATTTTTGATTTGTACAACTAACATAAGAGGGAGGGAGTATAATTTTCTTGTGCAGGATGTGTTCAAACTTGAAAGGAGGCGGCATAGTGTGACTTACCAAAGAGAAAAAAGAAAGCAGTCATATATATGTATGATAATATCAAACTTTCAATTCATGATCGATCGATATATACTACTAGTAATATAATAATAGTAACTGTTATTATTATGGGCGCCAAATTATTCCAAACAAAACTTGACCCACGCATTACCACTACAAACGCCAACCCTCGATGCCATTTGTAGTATAAAAAATAATAATGAAACAGAATTATGGCATTTACAGTTCACCTAATTAATAACCACAAATTGGTAACCCACTTCTACTTCTCGCTACGGTCCTGATTGTGTGTGTGTGTGAGAAAGACCTTTTCTTTATAAACCAAATACAAAGTTTTTTTATTTTTTTAAAATAAAAACAATGTTTTTATTGCGTAAGTATATTTGATAATGTTTCAAGATTATTGAAAGTAAAAACATAAAAATATGTTTTATTTTTCATCACCATTTCATGAAACTGAAACTGATTATTGAAAGATTTATAAAAGATATGTGACTAAAAATAATTTTAGAAAAATATTTTACGAAAACCTTAATACAAATTATTATTATATGAAATTTTTATATGATTGTCAAATCTCTTGAATTGTTAAGGCATTTTAAAATGGACTAGCTTTGTTTGTCCTCTCAGGTGGTGAAAGGTATTATTTGTGCACCTTCATTCACATGCATTTTAAGCCAATTGTGTATGCTGTACGGGTACTCTAATTTTTCAGTAAAAACAAATACGAAATCGATTGGGATATGATGGTCCACATTTGTCATAATTGTGGTTGGGAATGATTTATCATGCTGATTAATTTTTAATATGCTGATTGGAAATGAAATGTGTGAGTAACGTTACCCATTATTAATTAAGGACAAGAATGACTCGATGCAAGTAGCTACACCTACTGACCAAGGCACCAAACCCTACAAATAAAAAGATGCACAATGCAACCTTTTTGTATATGTGGAATATAAATCAAGTTACTACAGTATCTTAATAATTTAAACTTGAATTTTATGATTATTAAATTAATAATTGAATTGGGTTTAAAGTTATTTGTTTTTTTTTTTTTTTTTTTCATATTATGTATAAAGGATAAATTGCAGAAAGAACTCTCTTTGTTATATATAAAAAATCTGTAAAAAATATCCATGTTCTTAATATTTAAAAATATGTGTAAATTGTCTCTGAATATTTGTTGACCGTGGACCAAATTTTTATAAAAAATCTCAAAATATAAAAATTGATGTTTTTTTATTTTTATTTTGCCTTAAGAGCATTTAAGGTACTTGAGTCTAAGAAGTGCGAATATCACGAAGCTAAAGTTGAAACCCCACTTCGAGCTAGTCAAAAGCACAAACTACAGAGAAAATGTTTAGTGTTTAAAATGTTTAATGTTTAGTTGTATGCGAATGGATGTTTACAATACTGTCTTACGTATGAAAATCCCACTCACATACATCCCTTCTCTCTCTCTATCAAAATAAGGACAGGCTGGAAGGATCCAAATGCAACCCAACCCCACTACAATTATTAATAATTAATTATTGGGGCTCTAACAAATTTATATTTTCACACAAAACCACCCAAAAAAAAAATAAAAAAAGCAAGCACTTGAAGAAGAAACAGAGAAATAATGGGGGGCTTGGTTTCATTGCCTTTTTTCTTCCCATTGCTTTCTTGCAGTTTCTGCTAAGCATCTTTTCCTTTTCTTTTCTTTTTTTTTTTCTTTTTTTTTTTTTTTTTTTTTCCCACTTTTGTGTTCTTTTCTCAGTCTCATTCTTTCTTTACCTTGTTGTTGAAACTTTTTCTGGCCTCTCTTGCTTTGGTGTTTATAGTCTCCTCTTTTCTTTTCCTAATCTTCTGTTCTGGTTACTTATTTCTGTGATTCTTAATGGGATTTTCTTGGCCGGCATTGTTTGTTTGTTCAGAAAGTTTGGTTGCTTTTCTTGAATTAATTTGAACTTCAGTTTCCTTATTGGGCTTCTTTACAACCCTTTTGAGTAGTCTCTTGGTTGTGAAATTCTTTGCCAATCTTTTCTGGCTTCTGTTGATCAAACTGAATCTTTCCATCTTTCTGGGTATCACTTGGATTATTCAGATTTCTGTTTTTTTCTTCCCCTTCCAGTTTCCCGACACTTTGTTGGAGGTCTCTGTTCTGATTTGAGGTTTACTTCTTGTTAATTTCTCTTTCTGGGCTCCAACTTTCCTGATTTATTTTCTCCCTTTCTTTTAATCTACTCTTAATGGTTCAATTTTCCGTGACTTAATAGTTGTTTTTCTGTCACAACCTCTGAAATATCCGAATCTCTTGTTTGTTTCTTTTACAATTGAGATTTTGGTTCCATGGGACTTTGTCATGGAAAACCCACTGAAAACCCACAAGGGCTATCTCAAAATCCTGTATTCCCCGATGACAACGACCCACCCATAAATTCTCAAACTGGAAAATCATCAAAATTCCCTTTTTACAGCCCAAGTCCCCTGCACAGTATATTCAAGAACTCACCCGCCAATTCCAGTGTCAGTTCTACCCCTCTTCGAATCTTTAAGCGCCCATTTCCTCCACCTTCTCCGGCAAAGCACATTCGGGCATTCCTTGCTCGGAGGCATGGTTCAGGTAAGCCTAGTGAGGCTTCAATTCCTGAAGGAAATGAGTTTGAGGTTGGGTTGGACAAGAATTTCGGGTTTTCAAAGCACTTCATCACCCATTATGAGCTTGGTGAAGAGGTGGGTCGTGGGCATTTCGGATATACTTGTTCAGCAAAGGCAAAGCATGGGAGCTTAAAAGGGCAGGATGTAGCAGTCAAGGTTATTCCAAAATCAAAGGTATGACATTCATGACACTGTTATGAGGTATTGTTAATTCTTTTAAACTTCTTTTGCATATCTTTCAGTAACGAATTCAATGCGAACAAGTAAATAGTAAAGATAATAACAGATTCTTTACTTTTCTACTAAGCCTTGCAGATTCTTCTAATACTGCTTATGTTGGTTTCACATTAGTATAAATCTACTCATTTGTAAGTTTGGTTGAGTGAGCAGTTCATCAGAAGTTTTGAATACTACAGTTTTTTTTTTTTTTTTTTTTCCTTAGTTGCTACTCACACACACATGCCTCCACCGAGGCTTGAACCCCGACCTCCCTCTGGAAAGTAGGGGCCTGGTACCGCTAGGCCACTAACTTGTTGCTTGAATACTACAGTTCTTATGTATCTTATGATTCCTTTTAAGTTGCTTTGTGTTTCACATGCTGTTTTGTTCGTTTAATAAATTTTGCGAGTGACCTAAAAGGGCTAGTCCATATCACGAGGCTCCTGCCATTGGCAGGGTCTGGTGAGGGTTACATGTAAGCAGCTATGCCTCCGCATGGAGAGACTATTTCCGGTTTCGAACACGTGACCTCTGGGTTACAATGGAGCAAACTTACTTGAGTAACCTTGTGAGTGACTTATTTACTGATTTTATATCATTTCCTTATGCAACTCTTGCATTCTTGGAAGGACATAGGAGTAGAGTAGGCCATATCGAATTATCCCATCCATGAGATTGCAGTATATCTTGTTTGTTGTTCTGAGTTTGGGTAAATGTATAATGTTTCATTGTAGGTGGATCTTTGTTAGCATGAAGACAAGTTTGTTCCAATCTAAAGACAAATTTGGCTTCTGAATATATTCAATGGATTTACTTCTGCACAATTTTGGGGATACAAGAGATTGAATTCAATGTTATTGCAAGAAAATTTCAAGATTCACATAGGCACAGTTTTATGGAGGGAATGTCGTTCAATACCAATAATTTAGTACAAGTATGGTAGATGGTTCACATAGGCACAATTTTATGGAGGAAATGTTGTTCAATACCGACAATTTAGTACAAGTATGGTCGATGGTTCTCATTGCTTTTTGTAATCCAGAGCATTGTGATGTAATATATATTTGCACTTGTTATTATGTTACTATATCTGTATATCATAATTCACTATGACCAAAACTAGGACAGTGTAATTTCTTTTTGTAATTTTCTTATAAGAAATAATTTCCTTCCAAATTAGTGGGGCCTTTGTCGTTTGTGATAGAAATCGTAGTTAAACCATTAGTGTTTTGTTGTTTTTGCTATGGACTATGTCAGTTATCCAATGTTGGCATTTAGCTTTGTACAGTGTGGGAACCAAGGGAGCTCTTTGTTTTGTTCTAATAGAAAGATTGTTTTTGCAGATGACTACGGCAATTGCCATCGAGGATGTAAGAAGGGAAGTGAAAATATTACGGGCTTTAACAAAACATAAGAGCCTGGTGCAATTTTATGATGCCTATGAGGATGATGGCAATGTCTATGTAGTAATGGAGTAAGTTCGGATATTTCTGCGTTATTAATAGAGAGATATAATTTTGTTTGATTTTTATGTGGTTGGCTTAGATTATTTTTTTTTTTCACTTAATAATGTATTTTGTTTTTTCCAATTGTGAAAGAAGGAAATGCATCTCTTTCTCTCTAAGCCACATTTAGGTGCCATACTTTTACACCTGGCAACCTTGCATTACATGTAGAAGTATTTAAGCATAATTTTATTGTTTGATTTAGTAGGCAACACCAGAAACAATGGAGTCTTGATGTCCCTATTGATGTGCATATAGCTCACAGTGGCTTTGATGTGACATGTCTGAGTCATCTGTAAAGTTAGCTTACATATGCTTTCTGTAAAACTTGAGATGAGCCAGCCGAGTTGTATGCAACTGGTCAAAGTTTTGGAACACTAGGCTTTCAAACCAAACAAGAGGTTTTCACTGGCACATGCTACTGACCTTTGATATTTTTTTCCTCATTGGTTGTTTGAATTTTTATTATCTCACAAAGGTAATGAAATATATATGTCTGATATAGTCTTACATATAGCACAGAATCATTGACTTTAATCTGAATTCCTCTAGGTTTTGGAGCTTAACCTCTATTATGTTTTATGATTTTCAGGTTATGCAAAGGAGGGGAATTATTAGATAGGATACTTAATAGGTACTTGTCTTATTATGTAATTTCCTTAAATGGTTTATCTTTGGTCTATTGTGCATCCTCCTGAGCAGCTAAAAATTTTCATTTGTGCTCTTTAGGGGTGGAAAATATTTGGAAGAAGATGCTAAAGTTGTAATGGTCCAGATTTTGAGTGTGGCTGCCTACTGTCATCTCCAAGGTGTGGTTCATCGTGACCTGAAGCCAGAGGTAAATATCTCATAGAAACATAAAGGCTTAATATCCTGGACTTGGTTGCCTTTATTGAGCTTGTTGAATTTACTATAGAACCAGATATCAGTTTTGGCTCTTGCACGGGATTTTTTCTCCTGTTATGTGTTTAGTTGTACCGGATTTCACTTTAAGCCTTGTGTACTTGCACTCTCATTGTTGTTGTGGAGTTTCATTTAATGCATCAAACTATAAAATAAAAATAATAATAATAATGCAAAATGCTTCATAGCTACTGTCGTAGTTTTGCCATAAATCTTTGGTATTAAATTGGTTTCCTTTGTGAAAGAACTATATTTTGATCATGTCGTGAATAAGTCAAAATAAGGTAGTTATTCAATGTATATGGTTGGACGTTGAGAAACAGCTGGAAGAATAATATGTGGAAGTTACAGAATTTTGATCAAGAAATTTCGCTTTGTTGTGATTCAGGAATAATCTGTGTTGGAAGAAAACAAGCCATGTTTAAAGAACGGATTGCGTTGTCATTTAAATTTATGTATTGATTAAGTTTAATCTGATGCCCCCCATGTATTTCAACAAGCATTTAAAATTCAGTCTCGGCATTTATATTTTAATCAACCCCGAATAGGCTTATTACTGAAGTTCCCGCTTTGTGAATTCCAAATAATGGAGACTAAATTCAATGATTGGATTGTTATAGTTTCCCATTTCTATGAAATTCAGCCATTCCTCTTCTAAACTGAAATGAAAAGCAAAAATTGTTACTGAAATTTCTTTACACACTGTTTATATTTTTGTTTATATTATTCTGCATCTATAAATTTTTTTTCTGGGTGAACAGATGGATGCAACAACTGTTGCTCCACTATAGGGATGGACTGAATATATTTGCTTATAATTTCTTTCCTATTTCGTATCCCTTTCCATTGTGCTATTTTATACTTTTGTTGATATTTACTTGTTAAATTCTGCTTCAGAATTTTCTTTTTATTTCTAAAGATGAGCATTCCCCGCTGAAGGCCATTGACTTCGGGCTCTCTGATTACGTAAAGCCAGGTCAAATCCGACACTCGAAATTTACCCTTCCATCTTATTCTCAAAAGATGTGTTTGGATTTGACTGTTGAAGGTTTTTGCAGATGAAAGGTTGAACGATATTGTTGGAAGTGCATATTATGTAGCTCCTGAAGTTCTACATAGATCATATGGAACAGAAGCAGACATGTGGAGTATTGGAGTAATTGCTTACATTCTTCTATGTGGAAGCCGGCCCTTCTGGGCTAGAACAGAATCTGGAATCTTTCGAGCTGTTCTTAAGGCAGATCCAAGCTTTGATGAAGTTCCATGGCCTTCTTTATCTTCAGATGCTATAGACTTTGTCAAGAGATTGCTGAACAAGGATTACCGCAAGAGATTAACTGCTGCTCAGGCTCTTAGTAATTCCTCTGAAAATCTAAATTATTAGATCACTTGGCATGGACTAAATTGGATTTTTCATGGGCCTGGCTGTCATACATTTTCACTGTTTTGACTTTATTCATCATACTTGGTGAACCATGTTGAAAATTTAATTACTAAATATATATAAATATAGAAGGCAGCACCATGCCGCCTTTATGTGTAAACTGAAAATACTGATGGACTTGCATGATCCCTCCCTGATGATGTATATATAATGCAATGTGTGTGAGTTTGTATGTGTGAGAGAGAGAGAGTAGTGTTCTGGAGTTCTAATGTTTGCACACTGATTTTCATGTTCAGGTCATCCATGGCTGGCCAATTATCATGATTTGAAGATTCCATTGGATATGATTATATACAAGCACGTAAAAGCTTATATATGTTCGTCCGCTCTAAGAAAAACGGCTTTGAGGGTATGCACTCCTGCCTTTTAAGGAACTCTTCATGTTCAAAAAATTAGTAAGATATGCACATAAAAAATATTTGGTAAATTTAAGATATCAGGAATTGGTGTTATAGACTGTAGATTTGGGATGGGTTGATGTGGTTGACGATTGCAGTATCATTAATGCTTGATCATTTTTCTCCCTTTCTTTCCCATTTTGGATACTTTGTTTCACTTTCCATTTTCTCCTTTCTGGTATTTCCCGACCTGATACCTTGTTCCCCACTAGCCAAGGCAAAAGAGCTTTAACTAAAACCAATTCTCTCTTGCAAAACTTGAGTAAAATTGGTGCAGAAGTTTTTAAATTGTACTCTTTTCTTAACATAGAATGAGCCATCTTTTCTTTTATGCTCATGCATTAGAATATATAGTTCTAGGAGTGATTAGTATGTTGAATAGAGTTTCTAACTGTGGCAGGCTCTTGCTAAGACATTGACGGTACCTCAGCTAACTTATTTCCGGGAACAATTTACACTTCTAGGACCAAACAAGAGCGGATTCATTTCTCTGCAGAACTTTAAAACAGTTAGCTCTCTCTCTCTCTCTCTCTCTCTCTCTCTCTCTCTATATATATATATATATATATATATATATTATATCTGTTCTTGATTCTGTTGCTTTTACCCTATTCTCATTCTGAACTTGGCAGGCTGTGATAAAGAACTCAACCGAGGCCATGAAGGATTCACGGGTTCTAGATTACGTCAACATGGTACCAACTTGCACATTTTTTCCTCCCTTTTTGTGCTTTCGTCTTTTTCGTTAGGTTCACTAAGGATGTACCTATTTAACCAAATTAACTGCCTATCAATTTAAAAGATGAAAAAGTAATCCGAATAGTGGCTGAATGTATACTTGTGTATTTTGCAGATGAGTTCTCTTCAATATAGAAAATTGGACTTTGAAGAATTTTGTGCTGCGGCCATAAGTGTGCACCAACTGGAAGCAATGGATAGCTGGGAGCAACATGCACGCCATGCATATGAGCTGTTTGAGAAGGATGGAAACAGACCTATTATGATAGAAGAACTTGCCTCAGTATGCTCTACTTCAACAACCCATGCACAAATTTTGTTTACTCCGAAAGAACAAAATTGTGAGATATATTTTTTTATTTATAACTTTTTGCTTCTTTTAACCAGGAACTTGGACTCAGCCCGTCAGTACCAGTTCATGTAGTTCTCCAAGACTGGATAAGACACTCAGATGGGAAACTCAGTTTCTTGGGATTTGTCAGACTTCTGCATGGGGTTTCTCTTCGCACATATCAGAAGGCTTGAAATAAAAAGCAAGCTACAAAAGTTCAATCTTAATCCTTCACGTTCTTGATCTACCATGTCTCAAATGATCAATGTTGTCTGGCTAATGCGAGAGACCTCAAACAAGCAAGACTTACCTCTTACTACACAAAAAGGTTACAAAATGAAAGTATAGCCCATATGGCAGGAGTGAGAGACACAGCCATTTGCAACATATTCGATCTCCTGTCAGTATGTTCCCTCTTTACTATTTTATTTTATTTTATCCTTACCTTATATAATTTTGTTTTTCAATGTTTGGTGCCATTGGGTATTTAGAGGATTGTACATTGAGGGTAGATCACAAAATGTATTTAGAATTAGAAAGAAAAGAGACAAAGGCTAAAGAGGGCTTTGTGGTTTTGGGTGGTATCCCTTGTGTGCCCAGTGCACTTAATTTATTAATAAATACTTACTGTGATCTACAAGAATTAGCTGTTAAGGTTATAGGCATATGGTTTCTGTTTGCATTTGTGGCATGTTGATTTGATTCTATAGTCTCATTGCAGTTAAAATTATCCTGCAGGACTGCACTGGTCCTGTCACTGTAGATTTCACTCTTTCATATATTTGGAGATACACCCTACAGTATGGGTTACGTACATTTGTATTATAAGGTTTCTCCAGAAATGACTTTAAAAGGTAACCAAAGCTGGTTTTGCTTGATTCAATCACACAATCACTCACCATCGTTAACTCTCAGTAGAATGTAATGTTAGCCATTTAATGTTAAATCTATGAGTATGACAATCAAAATGCTACTGTTGAATGGATCATCCAAGTTAAAAGCTATGTGTTGGATATGCAAGATGGAACTAGTTCTTCACAGGAGCATGTAATGGTGATTGGTTCGTTCCGTTTCTACATTGCCAGGCCACCATAAATATAAATTTTCCTGCAACATGGGCTACTGGTAATATACAATTGAAGCGGCATGGGACTTTCTGTAAACTATAATAATTCGTGTTAAGCCATTAATCACAAATTTACATGAATCACATATCTTAAAACTTCATGATTTTCACATATCTATAATGCATAAATAAATACTAGTTAGATATAAATACCTCGATTTACGATATCAATTCTTGTTAAGATTAAGTCCAACGTCCAGATCCTTTGGCCACAAACTAATCTGCAATTCTGATCAACAGGCAAAGGTGAAAACTGGTTTCTCTCTCTGGGCCTTTTGCACACATAAAACTTTTACGTGTTATTTCATTAATTGTACATAATTGATGGAGTATATGCACTTTTATAAAGGCAGAGAGAGGACCAGTTTTCCTTATAGTAACATAATTCTACTTTCCATCAAAGTAAGGAATAAGAAAGGAAAACACCTCTCCAATAAGTAATTACCAAAAAGGTAATTATAAGTTGATCAAAAATAAATAATATTAATTGATATCTATTTACTTACCCACCAAGTAATATGTCACATGTCCAAATCATGTGGGCCACAATTAAATAAATAATCTTACATTCTCCCACTTGGCACATATGATAATTTCTGTAGTGGTTTAGTAAAATAGTCATTAATGTGCACCACAAATCAGATTAACTCATTAAATTGGTCATCATAAATACCATGGTAAATAAATTACCAATGCGAGTCATGGCGGTTATATATCCTTAAATGACACAGTCCCTTCCATGTACCACAACACTAGTAATCTATTCAACATAGTCTATAAATGAGAAGTATCAATAATGATCTAACAATAATGTCTTTTCCAAGACTATTCCTATTACTACTTATTAAAGCAATATGTACATGTACATTAATTAATAGGAAATATCAGAAACACATTTAATCAGCGCAAAATGTCAAATATATATAAGCACTATTTAAGCAATCCACAATTAAAAAATAATCATCATTGACTACATTTAAGACCCATTCTTTCAACATGTTCCATAAATGTCTTGGATGATAGTCCATTCATTAATGGATTGCAATCATAAGTTGTGTACTTATAATTTCAATAGACATTCGTTGTTTCTAAATATCTTCTTTAATGATAAAGTATTTCAACTTTATAATACCTATCATTTTTCATACAAGAAGATTAACAATTGCAGCATAAATTTTCAACAATCTGAAAATGGTACCCATAACTCCAAGTCCTGAAATAAATTCTGCAACCATAAATTATATCCTCAAAACATACTACAAATTAAAATTTCATAATAGACAAAGTAATCATAAATTACTTTGCACTTTTTCATAATATTGTTCCTCCAACCAAATCTTCTAGAACTCTTTTAATATATGTTTTATGAGACAATTCTAAAAACAAATCAATGTGATCTATAATGAAATATTTCTATTCCTATCACATAGGATGCCTCATCCATATATTTCATTTCAAAATTCTTAGAGATAACTTTTAGTTTTATATAATAAACTAAGATCACTACTAACAAATAAAATATCATCAATATATAGAATCAGAAATATAAACTTACTCCCACTAACCTTCTAGTATATACACTAATCAACAGTGTTTTTCTTAAAACCAAAAGAAATAATGGTATCATTAAACTTAATATACCATTGTTAGGAAGCTTGTTTAAATTCATATATTGACATCTTAAGTTTACGGACCATGAATTCTTTACCCTCTAATATGAAGTCTTCAAGTTTTTCCATATGGACTTCCTCTTATAAACTCCTATTCATAAAAATTGTATTCACATCCATTTGATGTAACTCTAAATCATAATAAGCTATTAATACCATGATATTTTAAAAGATTCCTTCTTAAATACTAGAGAGAAGATTTCTTTATAATCTCTTCATTCATGACACTAATCCATTTAGTAAAATCATTACTGTTAATGGCTTGTGAATATGTAACCGGATCCGTATATATCTCACTATATATCAAAATCAGATTCTTGCAGATATATCACATAGTCATCCGGAATAGCAGATCTCCTTTCTCTTTGAGATCGTCTTAATGTTATTCCTTATGATTCTTCTACAATCTATTCATTGGTGACAATCTCATTATAGAGTTGTTGATCATTTAATTGTTCTTCGTTGTTATACAGTTCAACAACTGAAAGAACAATTATTTCCTTATAAGTTATGGGTAAAGATATTTGTACCCTAACTTCTGAAATGATCAAATTCTTATTTTTATCACTCCCACTGATTTTACCATTCTTAATGAATCTGACATTACCGGTTTCAATAATTATCGTACTATGTTTCGGATAGTAAAACTTGTACCCTTTAGATTACTTAATATCCATAACATTATGGGTAACGAGGAATTACTTAACATACTCCTAACCAATTCCATAAGAGTACGATTACGCCTTACAGCTACACGCTTCTGCTGTGGCATGTATAGCAAAGTGTATTGAACACAAATGGCATACATTTCAAGGTGTTTAACAAACGGTTAGAGTATTAACCTGTTTCATCATACTTTACATAATATTCACCACCTCTATATGACCTTATGATTTTCACTTTCTATCTAGTTGTTTTTCAACCTCATTTATGTATACTTCAAGAGTATCCACTGCTTGAGATTTTTCATACAACAAATAGATATATCCATAACATGAAAAATTAACTATAAAGGCGATAATATACTTTTCTCCTCCAAAAGATGGAACATCAAAAGGTCTACAAATAATTTCAAGAAGCTATGTACTTATTGTGGCTCATTTCTTTGCGCGTTTAGTTTGTCTACCCTTAATACAATATACACACACATCAAAATCAGTAAAGTTTAGATTCAGAAGAATCACATCCTTTACTAATTTTCCTAACATTTCACTAGATATTGACCTAGTCTTTTATGCCAAAGATAAATTTTCTATTAATTGAGCTACGCTTAATTCTTACATTATGATACAAGATCAAAAGGATTTTAATAAATAAATCATCAAATTTGAATTTACAGAAATCATCAACAATAATACCATAACTCACAAATTATAATTTCTTAAATAAATATCATTACCAAATTTAAATGAAAAACCATTAACATAAAGTTTTTGAAATAAAATCAAATTATGGGAAATTGAATAAACATAAAAATTTTAAAATAATTTAAATAAAATCCATTATCTAACATTAAACATAGTGTCACAATGGTTTCAACAAAACTTTTTCCCAATTATCATAAATAAGAAATTCTTATTTGAATTTGTGGTTTAGGTCATAAAAAATTCTTGCATCTATTAGAAATATAAATATTAATACCTAAGTCAACCTATCATGTATTAAAAAAAAATTCAACAAGTAATTCGCAATATACAAAAACCAAAAGCGTACTTTTCTTTTTCGAATCATTCTTTATATGTCATGTAATATTTCTAAAAGTGTTAAATACATTAATGACACTTTTTCATTATTACATTCCTTTCTTTTAGTAGATTGACCTAAATCTTTTAATTTTGGGTGTTACTCACTTAATGCCATTTCAGGCTTAAAACAAATATAATAAGATAAAATCTTAATAACAATAATGCTTTGAGTTAACAACACGTATGTATAACTTAAAAATATAAATACAATGTATAACTATAGTACCCCTTTGGGTGGCAACTATAAAATACTAATAATGATGCTTATATGTATTTATACGTATACCTTTATTGGCGATGCATTATTTAATTAAACAAATAAGTTACCTTTGGATATCCTATATTTACCTAATAAAAAAAAATACATACGACCCTTTAATTTTTATTTAATCACTTGAAAATCAATTCCCTTTGAGGAATTATTTCTCATAATTAAATAAAATCAATATTCATGAATATCACAAAAAATTATAAGCATCATAATTCATGAAATATTGCAATTATGTTTACTACTAAAATTAATATTCATCAACTATTATGGTTAGGCCACTTTGGTAGCTACCAACCTTTACATAATATGAATATTAAATTAGATAGTAACTAATTTATGATTAATTATGTCTATTACAAAAATTAATATTCATCAATCATTATGATTGGGCCATTTTAGTAACTACCAATCTTCACATAATATGAATATTAAATTAGACAGTAATTAATTCATCATTAAGTTATATTTACTACTAACCCACACATAATATGAATATTAAATTAACTAGTAATTAATTAATAATAAATTTACCTATTTAACATTATACACACATACTCATAATTGTCGATTAAAGTTTAAGCAACTTCGATCTCAAAAACTTAATAGTCCGAAATTTCATAGAAAATATCTTTTTATTTTATATACATAATAAAATATATTATTTTATTTTCAGACTTAAATATCATAATTGAATCAATTTAAAATTGATTCTACAATATGTATGTATGTTTGGGTACGAAACAACAAGTTATTTGTGTGGAGCAAAAATGTATCATATACTATAGTATAATTTACTTAAATATTATTTGTAAATATAATATTTATTATAATAATCTATATATATTTATATAGTTTAATATCAAGAAAATA